AGAGCAGATACTGAAAATATGACTAACCTTTGATGTCTGAGAATGCTAGCCAACCTGTATGTATTTGAGTCCATGATCTGGTTAACAAAGCATGCTAAATAATATAATGGTTTGCAAACTGCAGTGCAATGGATAAATTCATTAAATATGCTGAACCATAGAATTCTAGAGCCGAAATGGATCACTGGACCCTTGAACCGAATCTGCAACTTAGTGCAGGAATCTAAACTGAAGCGTCCTCAGACTGTAATATAACAGGTTATAATACTAAAGATTAACCCAATATGTGACCTCTTCATTCAGTTTGCAAGTGGATTCGCACTTCACACTATGCTGTGATGTTTGCTTAGCTTGGATTAATGTCTTGCTAAAACTCATCCAATTGCAGACAGTGGTGTAGGAATCCAGTTTGTGTCTTGCACTCTAAAGTCAAACAATTTTACTGTTTGCTAGATTTCTATTTAACGTGTTTAAATCTGTTGGTTATGGTTTATAAACCTTGGATACTTTATTTGAATGGGTTAATATATCACACTAACCCAAAAACAAATAACCCATATTGTCACCCTGCACAAAACGTCATCCTAGCTAGGCAAAGTGCAAAATGGCTTATATCTTGTTGTGAGTATCAAATGTTTAAAAAGATTAGGTTAATGATATACAAAGTATATCATTGACCTAATCCAACATTAACATCCAATATGTTAATGTTGGATTAACATATTGCTAAAACTCAGCCAGTTATAGGTCATGGTTTGGGAATAGTTTGCCTCTTGCATTCACCTATCCACCCATTTAGAGATTGGGTTTCTCCCCTGTCACTTTTCCATAAAGTGCTCAAGTGGTAACCATAGTTAAATAAATCATGATTTATCACTATATAAATCGCACCACACGCTGATTGTTGTGGCGAATTATAACACAGCTTGCTTGGTTTTAGTCAAGTGTCTTGTTTGAATCAGATTTGTTTTAAGCCCTGTTTTATAATTTATCTGCAAATAAAGACACTTATGACTTGTGTGGCAAACTGTGGTTAATGCAGTCTGTACCTTAGCATGCAGAGCGAATCTTGCACATATCGTCCTTATCATCCTCTATTCGTTAAGGAAACATGTTCAATCCGGGCAAACTAGTTTCCCCAAGCAGACTGTCTTTCTGCTGCCCTCACCGCCTATTCAGAGTTTGGTTCTTAATTGTAGCCAAACAGCTTACCACTTTCGCACCCTGTCTATTTATTCATGTAATCCTGAGTAGCCACGGACTTTGTGTCACAGAGACAGCTGTGGGCCCAAAGCCTGCTTTGCTGGAGCTGTTTGGTTACTTCTCCCCTTAAATCCCTCACCGTCCTGTGGTTCCTGGCAACCTGTTAAGTATTCTGTCATCACCGAGCCAAACCTTTGCCACATCAGACTTGAAGAATGTTGGTAAAGACTTACCACCTTGCTTGTTTTTTTTAGTTGTCATTGTTATTAACCTGTCTTCTCACTGTTATTATTATAAATATAAACCACACTCGGAGTACAAGCCCTAACTTGGATTTTGCCTACTCAGAGAGCTCTCCTGGTTCATGATCACTTGGGAACAGGGTGGATAAAAATCAATGATTTTTTTTAAAAAAAAAAAAATCAGATTTTTTTGATTTAAATCGGATTTTTTTGATTTAAATTGGATTTTTTTATTCAAATCAGATTTTTTTGATTTTTATTGAATTTATTTTAATAAAAAAACTTTTGGGGTAAAAATCTATCGTAAGATAGTTTTCTATTTAAGATACATAAATAATTTAGTTTATTCAGCATGAAATGGAGCTTAGTTATGTAGCACGAGGCTGTATATTCTGCAACACTGGGACTATCGGTGAGTCAACAGTGGGTCAAAGGAGTAGCAGAGATGACAGTTGCTCTTTAAAAATTATGATTTAAATCGAGTTGATTTAAATCAAGCCTTTTTACTAGTGATTTAAATCATGATTTAAATCATGATGTAAATCGACTTGATTTAAATCAAATCCACCCTGCCTGGGAACACCTTTTCCCAAGATGGCGCCCTTCAAATACATGAGGGCTGCTAAGAATTCTGGGAGTTGAGGTCCATCTGTCTGTCTGGAGAGCTCCCAGGAGATAAAAAAAAAAGTTGTCTTAAACATTGTGGAAAAAACACCATCACAGGGAATTTAGTCAGCTGGGTAGTCCAGTCCCAAGTGGGCAAGGTATACATAGCTACATGTCTATGGAGAGCAAAGTAAATTGGTGCCTTAGTTAAAGAAATCAAACAGCCAAGTACTTATTCCAAAGGCAGGATAAGAATGAGCTCTGGATACCTATGAATAGTGATCATATTATTATTATTATTATTATTGTTTATTGGTTCGATTTATATGCCGCCCTTCTCTGGAGACTCAGGGCGGCTTACAATGTGTTAAGCAATAGCCTTCATACTTTTGTATATACCTGCATAGTAGGGCTTTCGGGGCCCCCTAAGCGGTGTTCTTTTTTATACAGTCAGCTTATTGCCCCCACAATCCGGGTGCTCATTTTACCTATCTCGGAAAGATGGAAGGCTGAGTCAGCCTTGAGCCTGGTGAGATTTGAACTCGCAGTAATTGAAGGCAGCTGGCAGTTAAGTGCTACTTAACAGCACTTTAGTCTGCTGCACCACCAAGGCTCCTTGGTGCAATATTGTCGCATTTGGACACAATAGGAAGTTGGGTTCTAAAGGAAACTGGCTTACCAGGAAAGAATGGACTGCTGGTTACTTTGCAGCCCAGTTGTTTCGGCCAGAGGATGAAGGGTAAAGTAAGCTAGTTAGGAAAAGGAAGCTGATTATTTTATCTAAGCCAAGATCCCTAGCTTTGTACTTCCAAGGGATTGTAAACTAAGGTTAGTGTTTAGTCTACAAATCCTAGCTTCTTTGGAGGCTGCAAATTCCAAGCCTAGTTTTACGTAATAATCTTTTACAAAAAATTGTTTTTATTGAGGAATTTTATACAATAGTAAAAATGTTACAATTTTAAGAAAAAAATATGAATAATGAAAGAAAAGAAACAAAGTATAAAGAAGTGGCCTTTGTACACGAATCTTTAAAATAAATTTATCATCTTATTTATTTATTTATTTATTAGTACAATTTATATGCCGCCCTCCTCCGAAGACTCATGGCGGCTTACAATGCACTTATAGCAATAGCCTTCATACTTTTGAATATACCTGCTTATTAGGGCTTTTGGCCCCCCCATAAGCGGTGTTTCTACAAAGTCAGCTTATTGCCCCCGCAATCCGGGTCCTCAATTTACCTACCTCGGAAGGATAGAAGGCTGAGTCAACCTTGAGCCTGGTGAGATTTGAACTCGCACTAATTGCAGGCAGCTGGCAGCTAAGTGCTACATAACAGCACTTAGTCTGCTGCACCACCAAGGCTCTTTTATCTTCTAATAAATCTTCTATCCACTTTCTGTACAGTTACCAAGTTATTCCCTTCTTCTCATATTTTTTCCTTTCCAACCATCAGATCCATCAATCATCAGTTCATTTTTATCATTTTTCACCAAAAAGCCCATAAAGCATTCATTTTGTGGAGTAATTAAACCATATTTGCTGGCGGACATAGCCAACCAGGTGCAGATTGGCTCTGGGTGCTGGTTCTGCAGTCTTCAGCATCTCCAAAGGTGCCTGCATAGTGTCTAACCGCATCTGACTTACATCTTTCAGGAATAATTTTATTTTGTTGAAAAATAGGATATGCCACGAAGGACAATATAGAGAGAAGTTTATAGTGGGTCAACTAGAGAGGGTATGATGGAATGTTTTGACAAGTCAGCCCTCCTGTCCCCAATAGCTAGCATTTTGGGGGGGGTTGTTTCAAGAATTTAAAATTATCATATAAAATACAGAAGACAATACAGATAATAGAAAGTGGAGAAGGGGAAGGAAGGTGTAAGTACATGAGGAAAGGTGTGTGTGTGGGGGCGGGGGAAATCCAGCTTTTTTTAGCGCAATAAATCACGGAATAAAATTACAGCCTCAGCATTTTTACTTTACCAACTTAACAAGTACTAGCTATTTCTGTATCAAATAACTATATTAATCAGCAAAACCCAGCATCGAGGATTCATTTTTATGTGTCTTGCGCACAAAGTCCAGAAGCGGTTTCCAAGTAACAGCTGCCATATTGTGAATATACATTGTGTCCCCGATAGCCATTTTGCAGGAATGCCCACAATGCATTCCTGCAAGTTCAGATGCAAGTTTCCAAAATGCATTCCTGGAAGTTCATCCCAGGAAGGTTGGGGAACACCTGCTCTGGCAGGCAGCTTGTTGTGATAAATCAGGTTCTTCAGAATACCAGTCTGCTGTTGCCAGGCAAGCATGCAGCTTCTCCCAGCTTTTAACACTCTGTATTCAGGAAAAAAATGCTAGATCACCTTAGTAAGACAAGACAATCCAGTGCTTTCTCCTTCATATGTAATTATTTTTAAGAGGTACAAGTAGTTCTCGACTTGCTACTATTACAGGACTATCTGTACTTGAACTCAGCTTTGCTTCTCCTCTTTATCCTTGGGAATATAATTTTGCATGTGAGACAAGTATCCACTACGGAAATCTCTGCTTGTGTATGGTAGAAAATAACCCCTTTCAGTATAGAGGGTTCTCGTTTGCTTTTTTAATGTGCAAAAAAAACCCTATACCACTGCCCGAGTGAAGAGGTAGGAAATCTGTAAGTCAGTGTTTCTCAACCTTGGCCATTTTAAGATGAGTGGACTTCAACTCCCAGAATTCCCCAGCCAGCCGGTGTTGAGAAACACTGCTATAAGTGATTCTAATTCGTGAAAAGTTAGCTGCCAAGGGAGGCAAGGCCGGGTCTGTTGAATTGAGGAACATTGAAGTCTGGACAGTGGTTGACTGATGAGCTCTTGCCGGAGAACATCCTGGCAATCTCCCATCTTTTGCTCCTTGCTGGATTTTTGAACGTAAAGCATTCTCACACAACATTTCCTCCTGTAGGATTACATTTGCCCAAGGTGTGAATCTGGGTTTATTGAAGAACTGCCTGAAGAACCAAGGTAACAAGCTTTTTTTTTAAACTTTTGAAAATGACAAATGTGTATGTGGGTCAGGCGTTGGCAAGTTTTTTTAATAACTATTTTCTGTCTACCTGTGAAGGGTTGGATCCACATATAGATCAATATGATTGGCGGATAAGAAGTTTGGTCTCTTTGTGTTGAAAACTCCCCATATCTAGGAGATATGCAAAGTCGATGAAGGTCCTTAGCCAAAATCTTCTTTTCCCTAGAATAACTGACTGATTCCATCATCCATGGCCACACGGTCCAGGAAGGAAAAATTGTTCATTTCCCAGCATTTCTGTCCGTTCTTCCTGGCCCACGTCCCTCAGATGCCTTCACGAATCTTCGCCTTTGTCTGAAGTTGGACATGATACAGTCTTATTTCCTCAGTTTGTTTCTGTTAGACATACATCAAGGAAGAAGTGGCACAAAAGCTGGTTAAACGTCATTAGCTGACTCATATCTGGTGCAAGTCATATGCTTAAGCAATGCTAAATTTCCAAGATCAGTTTAGATCCTAATATGGGTAGTCCTCGAATTGCAGCTGGTTGCTTAGCAACCGTTCAAAGTTATGACCGACCCCCAAAAGGGGATTTATGACCTGGATTCGAACATCCAACAGTTGGTTTCCCCCCCCCCATGGCCATGTGACCAAACTTTGGGCGCCCAGCAATATGTTCACATTTACAGGTATGTCCTGCTGTCACATGACTGCATTTTACGACTGAAAACTGCTATTTCTGGTTTTCAGCAAAACTTTACCTATACCGAGCCATTGGTTTGCTTAACAACTGTGGTGTGATTTGTTTAATGAATGTGGTGATTCGCAAAAATATCATAAAATATGGTGGCTGACCCATATTGCGGCCATCAGGACATATGACCTTACTGAGCAAATTCCATTATGGTCATATGTGAAGGACTACCTGTATCCATAACGCAACAAATGACTGGGCCTTGGTATCAGCCCTCTGATATAAAGCATAAGAAATGCTAAAACGCTCCTGATGTAGGCTATCATTGTAGAATCTTAATAGTCTGACAGGTTTTCCCCTTCTTTCCCTCTTGGACCAAAGAGAATCAAGGTGGAGCAACCTTGAGTTTCTTTCTGACACTTTCCCATATCCTGGGCTAAGCTCATATTTTATTAACAGTTGCTGCATATTTTTATCAAGGCCATATTTATACCTTTTTACACTGGAGTCTCGTGCTTTCCAGGTATGTCCTCTCTTTAGAAAGGGTGGTGATGATAAAACCTGCCCTAGTGATAGCTTTGCAACTGGCTGTCCATGGAGATTCTCATAGTTGTCCCAAAGGGGCTTTTCAAAAGGCAACTGGGCTTTCTTGGGATTTTTTTTCCCCCTTGAAGATGTTTCGCTTCACGTCCAAGAAGCTTCTTCAGTTCTTTTGAAAAGCACCTTTGGGACTTTGCAACTAGAGTTGAGGTTTCCAGTGTAGTGCCTGGGGGCATAATAAGCCTTCAGATAACCTCTTTTAATCTCCCTCAGGAACTGTGTCCCAATCTTACATCAAAAATAGAAACTAAAAGTTAAAGAAAGGGAAGTAGGTGTGCTACAAAGATAAACACCATCCCCCAATGTAATCTTTATTTCTAAAGCATGCCTGAGGGCCTCGTGGACTTTGTTAGAAACTCTCAAATTGCTGCCCAAGGTTTTTGCTAAAGAAAAGGACATAGGAGGATTCGGTGTGGAATTTTGTAGCTTCTGTCATCAGCCCAGAAGGTGAGAACTTCTCAAAAGTGTCCACCAGTTCAGAAAGTTTGGCAAACTCATCTCTTCAAAATCTTCTTGTATATCACAAAAGTTTTGTGGGGGGTTTTCCCCTTATATCACAAAGATGCATTGTTCTCCCCCTTTAGAGTTAGTTTCATGGAAGGGTTTGTATCTATTGGAATTCTTACTGAATTTTTGGTGAATTCCTCTGCTGTTACGAATTCTAACAAACTCTACATTCTGCCGTGTGATCACTGGCACTATTAAATTTTATATCAAGGCTCTCAATCAAGAACTATTACCATTGTTGTCTACTATTTTTGTTTTATTTCCTTGTTCAAATAAAAGCAGATTTGAATTTATTCTAGTTAAATTCAGTGGTTCCAGTTCTACATTAGGACCATTCCTACATTAAGCCAGCTCAAAAGTTGCCAAAAGCACATTTTTTAAAAATTTGACTGCATGGTTGCAAAAACCTGATAAAAGAAGAAGAGGTAAAAATGTCTTAAGGTTGGTGGCAGAAAGGATTTCAGGAGGGAATATGGAAGGAAGCTGCAGACATTTAAATTAGCTTCTGCTCCTAGCTGGGATGGTTTCAGGTTTTAACCTGGTTAAGGCCCTGGGATTACTGGTTTCAGATTGCAGTAAAATAAATGATACTCTTCTGCTTCTCTTTCCTTTCACAAGTAGATAAATATATTTAATTAAAATGGGTCTATTGTATCCTTCACAATAGGTATGCTAGAGCAGTTTACACCTTGTAAAAGATACAATAATATAATTAAGTCACTGAAAGTAAATCTCCCTGTTTGCAGGAAGGGGTTTCCTTCTGAATGGATTACACAGCATGCAGTATACATAAAGCAGGGAAGAGAAGATTCATCCAGCAGTGTTATTTCTTTTTCTGCCAGGAACATTTGGCATATGTGGGGCCCTGAAAAGGAATTTAAAGCTCAGCCTCATTTATCTTTTATAAGTATTGTGCTAGGTGCTGCTGAGCCTCCTGTCCCACTGCACAGGTTCACCATCTTATTAAAAAGCAGAAGAAATCATAAGACAAGGAAGTTGAAGAGAAAGGGGGAATTTGAGAAAAAAAAATGAAAGGTAGTGGTTACTGAATGAAGAAGAAATGGAAAGATTAAAAAAATATGCGTAGAAGGAAAAACAAGAAGAATAAATACTGGCAATTTTTCTTTTTCCCAAAAGAACGCCGTTACAGATTGTTTCTATCACTCGTAAACCCAACACAAGTTATTCATTATTATTTTTTTATTATTATTACATCTATTTGCTACCTATCTTGCCATGGGGCTACTCTAGGCATTCACAACCATAAACAACGAAATAAAAAGGACAAACAAAAGTTAAATAATAGAAGTATAAAACAGATAACAAGAAGAAAACACATAGATGTCACTATTTAAAAAAAGACTTCATCTATATTGTGTGTTTGTTTTTTTTTAGAGAGGCACCTAAAACTCTACAGTTTCCCTTATCTGGCTGTAGTTCTTGTCTAGCATTCTCAGGAATCCTAATTTTCATCGTACTTGAGTAATTTGCTTTTTTTCCCCCCCTTAAACTCTTCCAGAAATGTTGAAAATGGGTCCAGCTCCTCAGCCTCAACCAGTGACCAGACCAGACATCCGTTTGAGGTGAGTTCTTTATGAATAAAGTCTCCATTCAGTGAAACAGGTATAAATAACATTGATAGACAATTAAGAAAAACCCGCCAAAGGTTTACCCAGGATCTTTATGTCTTCCCCCTTTTTCTTGAGAGATTCCAGGTCCAATCCTAAAAGAGCCTCCCGCAGTTGACAAAAAAATGGAGAGTATCTATTAGGGTCAATGGATGGTAATTTTTTTGCCTGCTGACAATTCAGTGCAGTATCTAGAATCCCCTTCAGTTAGACCACTGTTTCTCAATTTTTTTCCCTTTAAGGTCTGTGGACTTCTTCCCAGCATTGCTGGCTGGGGAATTATGGGAGTTGAAGTCTACACATCTTAATCTTGCTAAGATTGGGAAACACTTGAATTAGACCAAGCAAAGAGTCCTCAATTCCCTGGAGCCAAGCTGCTAGGCATAATGAATCATCCATCCGTTGCAGATTGGAAAGGTCTGTTCTTTCAACTCTGGCTCAGGCTCAGGCAGACAGGCTGCTGACTGTAGACCCCACTAGCCCCACAGACACCTCACTTGGCACCCAATCAGATCCCTTCTTTAAATTTCAAGAGTGACACCGAAAGCTCCTACAGAGAAGGAGCCATTAGCATAATATTTATTTCTGTGAATGCCTTTGGGCCTCACTGGCATTCTTAGAAAATAGAAATGGTTAGAGGATCTATCCCAGGGTTTTCGATATTTAGCCACGCAGAAGAAACAGAGGAAGGAAGTTAGGTTGCTAAGGAGAGTTCTAGAGAAGATGGCGGAGAAAAAAATAATTGGTAAATGAATATTTTGTGACCGGCAGCCATTTTCTGAATGGGCCACTTTTCTGCTTTGGCAGCCATTTGATGAGACGGCCTGTGATGATGTGCATCCAAAATTCTGGCAGAAAAGTAGAAAGAGGTACCTGGATCAGACATTTCCATCAACTTCCATAAGCTTCAGATAAGATGAATAATAGTGAAGGACTATGGGAACTTTAATTCCATAGTCGGACGATGTCAGCTTACCCGTCCCTCATCACTGGCAGTCCTGGCTTCTGGCCTATCTCCATAAGTTATCTTCCTCTTTTCTAAGCAGTTTCCTTTTCTCTGGCACTTTCTCTTTCCTTTCTAGAATGTGGATCAGCCCCTCTTCACCCTCCCGCAGGGCTATGGCCAGTTTGCCTTTGGGATAATCGACGACAGTTTTGAGTTCCCAGCCTTTGGGTCCAACACACAAACAGAAGATAACCGCGATGCTGAGAACAGGCGGGAAAGGGAACATCAGTCTCGGCACCGATATGGAGCCAGGCAACCTCGGGCTCGTTTCACCGCACGACGGGCGGCTGGCAGACATGAGGGAGTCCCCACATTAGAAGGGTGAGGACAGTTTGTCCAGCTCCGATGGTCAAGTCACTTCTTTGAATATAGGTATTTTAAAACCATAGAAGTGGATTCCTGGTTACTGGTGGCTGCTGATTCAATTTGGATGTAGGAGGAGAGTAGTTATGGGTGTTGGTGTCTACCAAATTGGTTGGAACTGCGCTGTCCACAAATCGGAAGGGCCACACCAAGTTGTATTTGTACAATTACAGAATTAAGTTGCAGTGCTTCTAGAGTTGAAGAATTGGGCATTACTCATTTCTCCAGCCACCATTTGTGTAGGGGTAAAAGGTCATGTGTCAGGCTGAGAGCAGCACACTGTCTTGATGCTATGAATCTTGCCTGCTTGTATGATCTCATTCTGGCTCTGATCTGCATTATCTGCCTTCTCCACCAGGATGATGGCATCTTTAAGAGGGGGCGAATAGTTTCTACCAATTAAAACACACTTGCTGGTTTGCCTTTTTTGCTTGTAAAAAACTATATAAAAAGCAATAAACACTGCGAAGGGGGGAGAGACATCTTCGCACAGAGCAAATGCCTGGACCCTGATTTCTACACATTTGGAGGTCACTAAAGCAGGCCTCTCCAACCTTAGCAACTTTAAGACTTATGGACTTCAACTCCCAGAATTCTTCAGCCAGTGTGAGACTGAGGAATTCTGGGAGTTGGTCCACAAGTCTTAAAGTTGCCAAGGTTGACCCTGCACTGGAGCATGGCCATTGTAGTTAAGGCAGCCAGTGAAGTTCCAACGACCAGCCCCCCCCCCCGTGCGATCACATGATTGCATTTTAGATGCTCGACTACCAGTCCGTATTTGCAGTCATTTGCAATGTCCTGCAGTTATGTAACCACCAGCATTTACTTCCGGTTTCAAGCAAAAAGCATACTTTGCAAACAGTGTTTTGCTTAACAATTGCCAATTCACTTAGTGACCATGATGATTTACTTAATGCAGAAAATGTAAAATTGGGTCAGTCACATGATGACCCACTCAATGACTGGCACAATTTAAAAACCGTAATTCCAGGCTCAGTTACAGTTATAAGTTGAGGATTACCAGTATCCTCTTAAAATTCCACATATTCCATTACTGTTCTGTCCTAGCTACAGACCCCAAAGAAAACAGCACACAAAGTCTGTACAAACCTTAGTTTACTAAATTAAATCAGTCTTTTTCAAACAAAGGCTGTTAATTAACTTTCTTAACAGCCTACAAGAATCCAAAGAATAAATAATCATAATCTTATTATGGTTGGCAGAAAGCCCAGAAGCAATTTGCAGGAAACCGATAAAAGAACTAAGATCAGGATGTGAAGGAGAGTGAACGAAGTTGTTCCCTGCAAATTGCTTCAGTCAGCGTTCCTCCTTAAATAGGCTAAGGGAGTGGCCAATTAGCCCCAAGCCTTAGTCTTGAGGAGACCTCCTCCTGGGGAGCCACTCCTGCCTTTTGGCAGCTCTGCGCGCCCGTGCATCGAGAAGAGGCTCCTCCTCTTCTTCCTCTTCACTTATGGAAGGTTCTGGAGGTTCTGAAGGCCCTGGCTGAATCCCCGCCTCTGGCACCACATCTTCTCCAGCCTCCTCATTGTCTGACTTGAGTGCCAGCTGCACAGGCTGCTGGCGCAGCACCACACCAGCCTCCTCGCTGTCGGAATCAGCTACCAGCTGCACAGGCCGCTGACGGGCCACAACAATCACCAGAAATTGGGAAACCGTGAGCTCATTCAGCAGTTCTCTTCTCCCTGCTCCAGAATGCCTCAACATTTTTCTTTTTTCTCTCCTTTTGGCAGAATTATCCAGCAGCTGGTCAATGGAATTATAGCACCAACCACGATACCAAACCTTGGAGTAGGACCTTGGTGAGTTGGTCAGAGCATGTTCTAGATCAATGTATCTCAACCTTAGCAACTGTAAGAAGAAGTATGGACTTCAACTCCCAGAATTCTGTCTGACTGGGGAATTTGGGAGTCGGGTCCGCACGTCTTTTTTTTTTAAAAAAAATGGAATTCTTAGGCTTATTCTAAGAATCCTCCAAAGTCAATAAACCTTGACCATCTGCCTTATGGCAGTCCAGCCAGTTCCAGTGAAGGCTTAACTTTTCCTCCTGTCCTTTCTTTGTTTTGGTGCTTTCTATTTATAAAGGGGAGTCTTGCATTCAAATCCCATGGACTACGCTTGGGGCGCCAACGGCTTGGATGCCATTATTACTCAGGTACAGCTGGCTGTGTGTAGGGCACATCTCTTCCTTTTGCGGGGCAGGGAAAGGGTGGGGCAGAATGGTGGCATACGGAGGGTTCAGAGCTTAGGACTCTCACGTCCTCTTCTGTGGGCTCCCACCAAGATGCAGCTTAATTTTAGGAGGCTCAAATTCCATTAGCTAAAGCAGAGGTCTTCAAACTTGGCAGCTTTAAGACTTGTGGACTTCAACTCCCAGAATTCTCCAGCCAGCTATGCTGGCTGGAGAATTCTGGGAGTTGAAGTCCACAAGTCTTAAAGCTGCCAAGTTTGAAGACCTCTGAGGTAAAGGGAAACTCCATGTTAGGGAAGAATCCACCTCAAGACTTGTGCTGGAAGCCAACAGCAGAAGGCTGTAGCCTACAAATCCTGCTTATGTGATTTGTGCAGGCACTGGCCTAAAACCAGGGAGGAAACAGTGTTTACTAATGGGCCTAGCTTAGTCTGTACAGCAAATGTATATAAAAACTGTATAACTATACCACAGTTGTAAACATGACCAAGGTGAGACCCTTCCAAGTATCCATACCTTGCTTAATATCCCAGGTGGTCTTTGACTTACAACCATTCCTTTAGTGACTGTTCGAAGCTACAACAGCACTGGAAAAAAAAATGACAATTTTTGGTACTTATGACCATTGCAGCATCCCCGTGGTCACATGATCCGGATGCTCGGCAACTAACTCATATTTATGACAGTTGCAATGTCCCAGGGACAAGGGATCACCTTGTGGGACCTTCTGACAAGCAATCAATAGGGAAGGCAAATTTATTTAACAACCGTGTTACTACCGTAACAGCTGCAGCGATTCACTTAACAACGGTGGCAAGAAAAGTCGTAAAATGGGAGCACAATTCATTTAACTGTCTCGTTTAGCAACAGACATTTGGGGCTCAATTGTGGTCATAAGTCAAGACTTACCTGCATTATTAATAATCCTATCCTTTGGTTAATATATAATAATTTGGAGGTAACCCTGTACATGTCTCCCATAAAACATTTGGAGTTAGAAAGCGGATGGGAACGGGAGGTTTTAAGCATGTGGGGTTCTTGTTCTGAAAAATGGTTTAAAGCAGTGTTTCTCAGCAACTTTAAGATAGGTGGACTTCATGCCAGCTGGGGAATTCAGGGAGTTGAAATCCACCCATCTTAAAGTTGCCAAGGTTGAGAAACACTGGTTTAAAGAAGCCAAAACTTGGGCTTTGTATGGGGCACTCCGTGGAGTGGATGCGCCTTTGAATGGGGCAGCAGAAGCCTAGCCTGAAAATTGGAGGATCAAGCATCCCTGGCTAGTGCAGGTCCAGGCTCATCTTGTGGAGCTCAGTTGGGGTTTTTTTTTTTTTATCATAACTGAGCTTTTAAGTTTGTGACTTCCAAACTGGCTCCTAGCTGCTCTCGCCGTCTTTATTGGGTGGGAGGGGAAGTAGCCGCAACAGGCAAGGAGGGTTGCTCTTACACTGCCGTTAACAGGAGGCTGAAAATTTAGCTGACTCTGGTTATCCTGATACCCAGGCCTAAGACAGGGTGGGTGAGTGTGTCTTTTTTTTTTTTTTTTTTTTAGACATGGACTGCTTATACTGGGGTTTCAAATGGGATGCGGAGACATTTTCCCTCAGATGGGCAAGCAGGAGGAAGGACAGCCTGTTAACAAGAATTAATTTTAACCCTGAATTTATTTCAGCAGGCTGTCCTTCTCTGGGCTAGGAAGTTATGAAGGATTCGGCCTGAGGTAATTCTTGGATGAGAGATTCCAGGGAGCTCCAAGCTTGATTTACAGCCACAATCTGGCAGCAGCATTGGGACTGTCTCTCCCTCTTTTGTCACCCTTTCATTTTCTTTCAGCTCCTGAATCAGTTTGAAAACACCGGCCCGCCTCCTGCAGACAAGGAGAAGATTCAGGCCCTTCCAACCATTCATATAACAGAGGAACATGTCGGTAAGGGCTTACTCATTTTTCTGCCTCTCTTCCACCCCCACCCCCCACCCCAATGCATTCAGAAAGACCTGGATCATCTAATCAGAGATTTTCATTTGAATAGCATTATTATTTTTAAAAGATTCTTATTTATTTATTTATTTATTTTATTTTATTTTATTTTATTTTATTTCTATACCGCCCTTCTCCCAAAGGACTCAGGACGGTGTACAGCCTGATTAAAAGCACAAAGACAGACAAAATTTAAAAATAATTAAAATTATTAAATGGTAGGCCCAATTATAAAACCCCAAATTTAAAATCCCATATTTAAAACCAATTAAAATCTTTACATTGATAGCCCAGCCTAGCGGAACAACAAGGTTTTGAGGGCACAGCGAAATACACGGAGATCAGAGATTTTACGAATTTCTGGGGGCAGTTCACTCCAAAGGGCAGGGGCTCCCACAGAGAAGGCCCTCCCCCTGGTGTCGCCAGCCGACATAATTTGGCCGATGACACCCTGAGGAGACCCTCTCTGTGGGAGCGAACTGGCCGGTGGGAGGCTACTGGTGGCAGAAGTCGGTCTCGAAGGTATCCAGGTCCAATTCTGCTGTCTTATTGTAGTTTTTGTTGGCCAGCTTTTCTCCTTTTCTTTTGCCCCTTGGTTTATTCTCTGGTTCAGGGTTGGCAGTTTTAATTCCTTCCTGTGGTTGGGAACCAGAGACAGGCAAGGTTTCTTAGGCTTACCCTAGATTAACTTGGAACCGATCTCAGCTTGTTCTTAAAACTACAGAAGTTTGTGGCTTTTGTTCTGTTGCCAAGGATCTACAAAACAATCACTTTTCATTCTCTTTAATCTTCTCCTATTCAGATGGAATGGGGTGGCTGGATAGCATTGAACAGGGGCATATTTCTCAAGCTGAGTGTTGCTTGTTTTGACTACAGTGCTGTATTATGTTTAGCACATGAAGCTGAAGGATCGAAGAAGATCGGTGTCTCTACTTCTGAAAAGAAGTAGAACCATAAATACCTTCAGTGGGTTGAGAGCAATGGACAGGTAGTTCTCCACCTGCCGTACAACCATTTCGTGACCGTTCAAAATTATGACGGCACTTGAAAAAAGTGACTTGTGATAGTTTTTTACACTTAACAACCTTTGCAACATCCCTACGGTCACATGATCAAAATTCGGACACTTGGCAACTGGCATGTATTTATGACTGTTGCTGTGTCTCAGGGTCATGTGATCACTTTCTGCGACCTTCTGACAAACAAAGTCAATGGGGAAGCCAGATTCACTTAACCACCGTGTTGCTAACTTAACAGCTGCAGTGATTCACTTAACAACTGGGGCAAGAAAGGTTGTAAAATGGGGCAAAGCTCACTTAACAACTGTCTTGATTAGCAGTGGAAATTTTGGGCTCAGTTGTGGTCATAAGTGGAGGCCTAGTTGTAGCGTAACAAAAGGAAGTTTAGGGAACCTGGTAGTAAATTCTTAACAGATCCCAATTGCTTCTGCCTTCCTCATCCTCCAGAACACTTGGTTTCTGTGATTTTCCCCTCCATTAACTGCTTTAAATATCCAGGTAGTCCTCGACTTATGACCACAAACGGGACCAGAATATCCATTACCAAGCAAGGGGGTTGTTAAGTGAGTCGCACCTGATTTTTATAACTTTTTTTGTCACAGTAGTCACTGAATCACTGCAGTTATTGAATGAATCACATGGTTGTTAAATGAATCTGGCTTCCTCCATTGCCTTTCCTTTTCAGAATCTGGCTGGGAAGTTTGCAAATGGTGGTCCTGACATACAAATCAGTCATCCGACCTGTGTATAGGGGGCAAAAGACGAATTAAACTGTCTAGTAGCTGGTTCCCTCTGAAGTTCCCTCAGGATGGCTGGCGCTTGCTGCCACTGTTTTATGCGGTCAAGCGAATGATTAGAGGCCTTGGGGCCGAAACAATCTCAACCTATTCTCCAACTTTAAATCAGGGGTCTCCAACCTTTGCAAAGCTGGCTGAGGAATTCTGAGAGCTGAAGTCCACAAGTCTTAAAGTTGCCAAGGTTGGAGACTCCTGATTTAAATGGCTAAGAAGCCTGGCTCGCTGTTGTGGAGTCGGCCACGGAACGCGAGATGCCTACTGGTCCACTTTTGGCAAGCAGAACTGGGGCTGCGGGATGAACCGAACGCCGGGTTAATGCATCCTATGCCGACGCTCATCAAACCCCAGAAAAGGTGTTGGTTGATATAGCCATCGTAAATACATGCCAGATGCCAAGCGCCCAAATTTTGATAATATGAACGTGGGGATGTCGCAACAGTTATAAATGCAAGGACCTACTCCTTTTTAGTGCCGTTGTAATTTTGAACAGTCAATAAAGAAATGGCTGTAAGTGGAGAACTACCTCTACAGGTATTCCTTGTTTAGCAACCATTCACAACTACAGTGACAATGAAAAAGTAACTTTGCAACCTATTCTTACATTTACATCCTTCCCGTGTCTGTAAAGCAAAAAGGAAAGCTAAAATAAGATCATAAGCACAGTTGCGGTTTCACTTAGCCACTGCTTCACTTAATGAGAAAATTGCTGGTCCCAGTTGTGGTCAGTAAACAAGGACTACCTGTAACGGGGATGAACAACTCAGCTCTAGTTCATTCCTCTCTCTCTCTCTTTTTTTTTTTTCTTTTCCCAATTGTAGTTTCGGGACTGGAATGTCCCGTCTGTAAGGAAGATTATGAAGTTGGCGAGAGCGTGCGACAATTACCCTGCAATCACCTCTTCCATGATGGCTGCATAGTCCCGTGGCTGGAACAGGTGAGCTGTCAGGGAGAGTCATGGAGGGACTTGAGCAGAGAGCATCCCATGTCCGCTGCTGCTTTGGGGAGGCTGGAGACAATCCACCAGCGGCCCCAATGGGAGCCTTGTTTCCTTTGGCCTGCTGTGATTCAGACATTTTTGAATAGTGACGGAGAATAATAGATGTCTTTGGAGACTGAATAGGGGAAGAGAGGACTTTTAAGCAGGGGTGGGATGCTGGGGGTTCGCAGGGGTTCGGGAGAACCTCTAGCTAAGATTCTGTGCAGTTTGGAGAACCCCCAAATCCCACTCCTGGCTGGCCCCACCTGCCCTGCCCCTCCCAGGAGTCCCTACACAGCCCGTTTTGGATACAGGTAAGTGCAGGGCGGGCATGGAGGCTTGGGGAGGGCAAAAAGCAGGATGATTGGGAAGGCTAGAAATGGGCCCGTTTCTGGCCTCCAGAGGGCCTCCAGAGCCTGGGGAGGCCGTTTTCGCCCTCCCGGAGGTTCGAGAAAAGCCTCCGGAGCCCGGGGAGGGCAAAAACACACACACCACCGTGGTGCAGGAGGCCAACTAGGCTACGCCCACCATGGCCACGCCCAGCCAGCAACCGGACAGAGAACCCCTTGCTAAAATTTTTGAAGCCCAGCCCTGCTTTTAAGATAAGATTTGTTTAGCAAGAGGGGGCAGGGTTTGGTCGGTGACTTATATGCTGTCTTCCTGCCTCATTCTTCAACAATTGACACAAGATCATTGGTTTTTCAGCGGAACAATTGGTTTAGCTTTAAACAAAACCAAGAGAGAGGCATATGCCTTTGATTTTGAATGTTTTAAAAAGCTTCTCTGAAGGTGCAACCTTTCCTCCAGTGAGGCTTCTGCTAGATTCCCTGTTCCCTTAGAAGCCTAACACTTTCTTTTTAAGGGCTTGTTCCTGCAATAAAACGTGCGTGTCCCCCCCCCCCCCCTTTTTTTTTTTTTTTTTTTAGTGAAAATCCTTTCTGGAAAACAATATGCAGCCCTTGAAAGTCATTTTTAAAATCCAATAATTCCCAAAGCTTGTAATTGAAAAGTCAGTCTCAAGGCCAGGCATTAACAGCTTACAGCATGCAAGATAAATCAGTCTCAGTTAAGTCCATTTAAAACTGATGAGTTTTTGATCATCTTTTTGAAGATCGGGATTTGGGGGGGGGGGAACAGATCCCTTGTCACAGAGTTATACTGGAATTAGTGTCGAATTAGAATTAGGGAGTTAGAGACTATTTCATCAAACTGTCAGTAGCGTAGTCCCCCCCCCCCCACACACACACAGATGGCTCTTCAGCCTCCGTTAAATGCCTCCAGCAATTTCGAGAGGCGGTTTTGTTCTGTTGGCAGTTTTGCTCTGCGGGGTTCACTAATCCCACTCTGCAGTTGTATGACAAACCAAACAATATTTTCCTTTGATTGCACTGCGAGTTTGCTCAGGATAGCCTAGTCCAGGTTCCCACACAATTTGGGAAAAGACACTGTTTTTTTTTTAAAGGAGTCGTAGACGGGGGACCACATTTGCTCCTGTAGATGCTCTGAAGCAGGGGTCTCCAAACCTTGGCAGCTTTAAGACTTGTGGACTTCAACTCCCAGAATTCCTCAGCCAGCAAAGTTTAAAGTTTAAAGTCTTAAAGTTGCCAAGGTTGGAGACCCCTGCTCTGAAGCACATCTGCCTTTGAAGTGTTGCATTGCCCTGTCGAGCCCACATTTTCTTAATTTTTATCAAATGTGCTTTCCTTTTATTTTTCCCTCCCAGGAATACCATCTGCATAGGCCCTGTGTTTATTTCCAGCGTCTCAGCTTTTCCCTCTCCATCACCCATTTTTATTTTTTCTCCCCCGAAATTCTTAACTGTTGAAGGACCCATTCAAAGTAGACTCTGACTCAATGACAAACTCCCATCAATGGAAATACAGTGGTATCTCGGTACTCGGTGTGAACTGATTCTGAGAGGTGCGATGAGTCCTAAACAAACCACATGACTTGCCACCTAACCCATTGTTTCAGCCAGGAAGAACTTTCTGTCTGTGCCTTTTCCTATGTCAGTGACCTTCCCAGCATGGCCAATTTCCTGTCCGCTCTCTGTGGCCATCCCCCTCATTTTGCAGTGACTTTCCCATCATGACCTACTTCCTGTCCGCCTGTTCTGCCCCAGCTACGGACCCCAAAGAACACAGCACACACAAAGTTTGTACAAAATTTAATTTACTAAAATAACTCAGTCTTTTTCAAAACAAAGGCTGTTAATAAACTTTCTTAACAGCCTACAAGAAACCAAAGATATGGTAATCTTACTAAGGTTGACAGAAAGCCCAGAAGCAATTTGCAGAGAATCCAGACGTGAAGTAGAGTGAACTAAAGTTGTTCCCTACAAATTGCTTCAGTCGGCGTTCCTCCTTAAATAGGCTAAGGAAGAGGCCAATTAGCCCCAAGCCTTATTCTCGAGGAGACCTCCTCCTGAGGAGCCACTCCTGCCTTTTGGCAGGTCTCCGTACCCATGCATCAAGAAGAGGCTCTTCCTCTTCGTCCTTTTCACTTAAAGGAGCTTCTGGAGGTTCTGAAGGCCCTGGCTGAATCCCTGCCTCTAGCACCACATCTTCTCCAGCCTCCTCATTGACTCGAGTGCCAGCTGCACAGGCTACTGGCGCAACACCACACCAGCCTCCTCACTGTCAGAATCAGCTACAATCCACACAGGCCTCTGACGGGCCACAACACTGCCCTCTGTGGCTATCCCCCTCATTTTGCAGTGACCTTCCCAGCATGGCCAACTTCCTGTCTGTTCTCCACAGCCGCCCCTCTCTTCCTGTATCTGCGTACCGAGTACTAAACAAACACCAAGTACCGGGACAAGATTTTCACATCAAAATGCATCCAGTACCAAATTTGATGAGTTTTGAAGCAATCGAGTACCGAGGTACCACTGTACTGTGATCCAGGGCCCTGTGTGGCGTGTTGGATAAAAGGGACACTATAGAAGAGGGCAGTGCAATGCACTAGAATTAATTCCAAAGGGGGGCAGAGGCAGGTAGACAGTGCTTGTCTGCCTGTGCTATGTTTGTCCTTAAGAGCTCCAAGGCCTCTTTCTGAATCTAGAGTAGTCTTTGACTTGACAGCCACAATAAGATTCGGAGAATTCATCATTCACCCCTGCTGTTGTTAAGTAAGCTGACCACAGCCAATTTTACAACCTCTTTTGCTGCGGTCATTAAGCAAATCACTGCAGTTGTTTAAGCAAGGCATCGCAAGACTACAACTGGCAACCTTTCCTGCCAATTTCCCCCTTGATTTGCTTCTTGGAAGCTGGCTGGTCAGGTTGCAAAAGGGAATGACGTGGCCACGGGGATGCTTTAACCGTTGTAAGTGCAAGGACCAGTTGGAAGTCATCTTTTTAGCACTGTTCACTAAACGAATGGCCGTAAGTTGGGGAGTGCCTGTATTTAAGCACCGAGACATGGGCCAAATACCTGTTTTCTAACATTTTTGCTCTCTCTCTCTCTCTCTCTCTCTCTCTTTCTTTTTTTTTTGTCTCCACCCGCTTCCCCAGCATGACACCTGCCCAGTGTGTCGGAAAAGTTTAAGCGGGCAGAACACAGCCACAAATCCACCTGGACTCTCCGCAATGAATTTTGCTTCCTCCTCGTCATCTTCCTCCTCCTCTTCTTCCTCCAGTTCACCAAGTAACGAAAACTCCGCAAACAACTCATGAATCTTTAAAAAAACAAGCAAAAAAAAAAAATGTCGCCACTCTCATGCTCTTTTTCTAATGTCATAGCCCTTCCATGCTTCTCCCCACCACCACCACCAGGGGGAAATCTGTGGGGTGGGGAAACGTCCAGTACAGAGCCGTGGGGAGGGCTGGGAATGGGAATCTCCACACACTTCCCCTCAACCATCATAACTTCAAGACCCTCTTGACTTCCTGCTCTCTTCCCTCCTGCCCCCCCCAACCTCCCACGTCCCGCCCCAATGTTTGGTGTTCAATCTTGCATTCTCTCAAGGGACAATGCGGGGCGGGGTGGGGGAAGAACCTCCTCTCTCAACTCTGCTGCTGTGCGGACTCTTAAAACCGGCCCAGCCGCGCCGTGTGACGAGTGGCAGGGAGTCGGAACGCGAACAAGCACTGGATTTTAAGGGAGATCGGAGTTCCAAAGGGGGCGTTCTAAAATGGATTGTCTATCCCTTTCTCTCTATTATTATTTTTTTTTTAAATATAATTTTGACGATGTTTTTTTTTTTTCGTTTTTGTTTTTTGCCCCACTGCCCCGTCCTGCCATCAGCTCTCTTTTAAGAACTGATGATACCGACCTTCGAAAGTAGAAATGTAATAGAGATCCTTCTTTCCTTCCCCTCTTTTTCCCTCTGTGGATTTTCTGCTGCTGGAGGAGCTGGTGAGGCTCTTTCCTTTAGGCACCAGCAACGAAGGGGGAGCGGGGAGGAAGAAGAGGAAGAGCGGGAAGCGAATTTAACAATCAGAGCTACTTCCCGACTCTGCACAGTTCCTCCCTCCTTCCCTCGCCCCCCGCCCACCCTCCCCTGTTACTAACACCGCCCTTTTTGACAAGTCGATACCGAGAAAGGGGTTTTTATAATTTTAAATTATTACTGCTGTTAAATAAATGGACATTTCAGCTCTAGCCTGTGATGCATCTGGGTTTGTGCCTTCAGGAGAAGATGAGATGAAGCAAAAAAAGGCGCTTGTTTGATGGAATACCTGAGGGTGGGGGGAGCTCTAAAAAAAAAAAAGAGTGGGAAGCAACTAGGGTTCAACTGAGATGTTGAAAGAAATCTTGGAAGAAGTAAGCAGCGGCCAATTCATTTCCTAGTTCTTTTTGAGAAATCAGCATTTTCCTGTCTGTGAAGTTCGGAGCTTCACCTTCCCCCAAAGGGGTAAATGCAGTGGTGGGATTCAGCCGGTTCGCACCACTTCGGGAGAACCGGTTGTTAACTTTCTGAACAGTTTGGTGAACTGATTGTTGGAAGAAATCATTAGGGCAGAGAACCAGTTATTAAATTATTTGAATCCCACTACTGGGTAAATGCAAATGAAAAGTCCCATCTCCTCAAGGGTTGGCGATTTTACCCAGGTTTTGCCCTTGCGTCTGAAGCCATTCCTTCTTCCGTACAGGTGGTCCTTGCCTTACGACTGCAATCGAACCCAAATGTTTTTGTTGCTAAGCAAGGCAGTTAAGTCAGCGTTGCCCCATTTTACAACCTTTCTTGCCACTTGTTAACGTGAATCACTGCGCTGGCTAAGTTAGTAACACGGGGGTTAAGTGAACCCGGCTTTGACTTCGCTTGTCGGAAAGTCGCAAAAGGGGATCGCATGACACCCGGGATACTGCAACCATCCTAAATACGAGCCAGTTGCCACGCATCTGAATTTTGATCACATGACTGAGGACGCTGCGGCGGTTGCAAAATGTGAAAAACGGTCATAAATCATCTTTTTTCAGGGCCGTTGTGACTTTGAACGGTATGGCTGTAAGTCGAGGACCACCTGTACAAATTTGATGGGTGCTGCTGTGGTTGTCTGTTCCCCACCTCTTTGTCTCCGTTTGGGTTGTTTCAAGCTATGCCTGTTTAAAAAGTGGGCTTGTATCTTGTAAAGGCCCGCCTTGCTAGCAAAGCACCCACCAATCAGCGCTGGTTATCCGAGGGCGCCGCTGGACCGCAGCAGCGTTAAGGGAGAAGGTGGACAAGCTGAGACGAACGGTAAGCAGAGTCCAACCTATTGGTTCAGGCCACAGTTTTTCTACCCTTGTGCAGAAGGCTTTTGGGGGCGAGTCCACAATCCCGTCTTCAATTTAATAGATAGAAAATGGGAAATAGCTCCTCCTCTATTTTTGCAATCTCCTCCCGCCCCCAGCCCTGCCCAGATCATTAACAGCAACCATTAAAGGTGTTTTATGATTGGTCCCCTGTCCAATCATGCTTGACTCTAGGGGACAGTGCTCATCTCCTGTTTCCTAGCCAAGGAGCCAGCGTTGTCTGAAGATGCTGCCGTGGTCATGTGGCCGGCATTACTCTACGCTGTTACCTTCCCGCCAAAATGGTACCTGTTTATCTACTTGCATTGGCATGTCTTCAAAATTGCTAGGTTGGCAGGACAGCCATTGCTGTGGCAACAACGGGAGCTCAACTTGTCACGCAATGCTTGGGTTTCAAACCGTTAACCTGGTCGGCAAGCCCAGCGTCTTAACCACTAGGCCACCATATCCGCTTAACCAGCAACAGATTTAATTAGAAACCAGATCTTTGCACAGAGCTTCCACAGGGCTTTCTACCCCCCTCCCTGCAAGCCCAATCAAGAATTAAAAAATGTAGGCCCTTTCCACTCTGAACAGTGATGCTTTGACAGCAGTCTGGGGCTGCAAAAAAGGGGCCTGGCCCCGATGGGAAGACAAAAGGTCTGATGTGAGAAAATCTGTAGTTGGGTCTAGGACAGGTGTTTAGAATTGATAGCAAAGAAAAAACGGGGGGGGGGGAGTAATTTTTCTTTGCTTTGAAGAACAATTTTAAGTTAAAGGAAGGTTTACCACTCTCAAATAAAATAGGTTTTTCCAGTCGTCCCAGAGGCCCCCCTTTTGACACAGGCAGGTTTTATGGCTGCAAAGCGCCCCCCATCCTTGGCGGGATGCTTTTTGCATGGCAACCAGTAGGTGGCAGCAAGGATCCATAGTTCCATTGCCGTTTCCCTTTAATCTCCTTTAGCAATTACAGAATTAATTCAATAAGGTAGAGGGCCCCTGTTTTATTTATTTATTTATTTATTAGTCCAATTTTTTTTTTAAATTTGATTTATATGCCGCCCTTCTCCGGAGACTCAGGGCAGCTTACAATGCGTTAAGCAATAGCCTTCATACTATCGTATATTTATACAAAGTCAGTTTATTGCCCCCACAAACTGGGTCCTCAATTTACCTACCTTAGAAAGGATGGAAGGCTGAGTCAACCTTGAGCCTGGTGAGATTCGAACTTACAGTAATTGAAGACATTTATATGTCTCCGGGTGGCTTACAATGCATTATAGCAATAGCCTGCATACTTTTTTGTATATAACTGCTTATTAGGGCTTTCGGGGGCCCCAAGCGGTGTTGTTCTATACAAAGTTAGTTTATTGCCCCCATAATCCAGGTCCTCAGGATTTTCAGGATTTAGCCATCCAGTGGGGGAATATGTAGTTGGGGCTTCTCCAAGGAGAAAGGAGATGGATGTGGTGTTCTTAAGGGTAGTTTCTGGGTCTAGAATTGGGCTGGTAAGCAATTTGCTCTTAAAATCTTTCATAAGGGCTATTTGGAGGTATCTTGTGGCCATTTTCTAACAATTGGAGATGTGAAGCTAGTTCCAGCCTCTTTCAGAAAAGTTGTTGATGGTCAGTCATCGAAAAAGCAAGCAAATGATCCGTACAATCTATTCAGTCTATTCCACTCTTAGCATTTGTTCCATCCCACGAATTTAAAATGCTAAACTTCCCCTATTACATCTATGGAGATTCTCAAGTCATCCAGGTCATGGTTGTCCCAAAGGTGCTTTTTTTTTTTTCAAGAGGCAACTGGACTTTTTGGTTTTTCTTTGAAGATGTTTTGCTTCTCATCCAAGCAGCTTCTTCAGCTCTGACTGGATGATGGGGAATGGAAGTCGTTTAAGCCAGTCTTTAAGGCCACCTGGAGGTTTATCTGTGTCCTTGGGGCCACCTGAGTGGTGCAAAGGGCTACGATATCATCTGTCTCCAGTCTACAACACAGTCCTTTCAACAGTTCCAAGAAGGCTCCACACCCATTTACACTACTCAGGTGACCCTGAGGACACATAAACCTCCAGGTGGCCTTAACAACTCACTAAAAGACTACAAATGACCAGGTATCTGCAAGGAATATAAATCCTTCCATTCCCCCCCATCCAGTCAGAGCTGAAGAAGCTTCTTGGATGGGAAGCAAAATGTCTTCAAAGAAAAACCAGAAAGTCCAGTTGCCCCTTGAAAAAGCACCTTTGGCTTCTCCTATTACATGAATCGGTATATCAGATCTGGGATAGGCACTCCAGTATCTTCCCCTTCTTTGGGGTTACAACTCAATCTCACCAAGGCCAATATTCTGGGATTATGGCAATTGTGAATCAACATTGTGGAATAATTAAGGTGTTGGGTTGGATCAAGTCTGCGTTTGCCAGGAAACTTCATTGGATGAAGTTGGCTAGTTGCTGGCTCTCAGTTCAGTGTATCTTACAGGGTGGTGATTGGGCGGTAGACATCTTTTGAGATGTGTGGATATCTAGGCTGGAAAATTCTGGGAACTTGAAGTCTGCCCATTTTGAAGATGAAGATGCCAAGTTGGGAAAGGTTAACATAGAGAGAGAAATGCTATGTCCCACACTTTGAGATCTTGGAAGAAATGTTGAGAATAAATTTAAGGAATATATAATTAAGAATTTGAAATATCCACAGGATAGTTATTTGACTATCACTGGCCCTGGTGGTCGATGTTCATCAATTGCTCAAACCATGTATCACCAAGGTTTAATTGAGCATGGATTAAGGGAGGGTTCCCTTGTTGGTAATGTGACTACTGTACTTGGGCAGCGATTACAGGGCAGGAGTGGCCAGTAAACCAGGAAACTGGTGAGTTTCAGAAGTGCTGTTCAGTGGATAATCAGATGAAGACCTTGTTGGGCTCTAGAAATCAGATGGGGAGTGCTGATATAATATTAATCGCCCTGTTGCATAGGGGCCACACTTGATACTTTGACAGGGTTGGTGGTGGAATGCGTCAGATGTAATGATGTTGGGGGATTTCAAATTCCTTTCTGAGGCATAGAATCAGAGGTGCCTTGAAAGTTCATGGCCGGTAGGGCAATCAAAACTCATTTAACAACTATCTTGCTTAACAATGGAAGTGTTGGGCTCAGTTGTGGTTGTAAATCAAGGACTACCTGTGTTATCTAGAAAGAGTTTGAACCAAGGAAGTGGAGAGGGTCTCCAGATTGTGAACTTAGCCATATGTATATTAGGTTCATGTCCTTCCAAGGCTGGTTAAAACTGCAGGAAAAGGATGGGTGGTTACCCCTGTTTAAGGTACATTGGATTTGACTGTACTGGATAATTTCTATCCAGCTTTCAGCTTTCTCTCTTTGGGGAAGGTTGTAGAGAAGATGAGGAAATGGATCATTCAAACCCTTTTCAATCAGGATTCAGATCTCAGCATCGTATGAGCCTCAGTGGCGCAGTGGTTAGAGTGCAGTACTGCAGGCCACTTCTGCTGACTACCGGCTGGCTGCAATTTGGCAGTTCAAATCCCACCAGGCTCAAGGTTGACTCAGCCTTCCGTCCTTCTGAGGTGGGTAAAATGAGGACCCAGATTGTTGGGGGCGATATGCTGACTCTGTAAACCGCTTAGAGAGGGCTGTAAAGCACTGAAGCGGTATATAAGTCTAAGTGCTATTGCAATTGCTATAGTAGCGTTTTTCAAAGTCAGCAATTTTAAGAGCTGTGGACGTAAACTCACAGAATTCCTCAGCCGGCATGAAATCCGTGCATCTTAAAAGTTGCCATGGTTGAAAAACTACTGCTTTAACATAACCACCTCCCGCTGCAATTCAAAATCTCCAAAGGTTTTAATTTTGCAGTCAGCCAGTTGGA